GCCCACGGCCTGCCCCACGGCACTGCCACTGCCTTCGCTCGCGCTCTTTTAAAGTATTAAGGGCAGGTTTACAAAAGATAAAAAAGAATTGGTGCCCGATGTTGTGCTGGTCATAAATATGATACTAATTCATTTCATGAAAATTACGAAATGCTCCATACAAATGACAATGACCAAATTTGTATGGAGCGTGGGGCCTTTTCATTTTCTCGCGGCAGTTGATCGCATATGGAAAAACTGATGCAAAATAACATTACAAACAAAAAAATATATTGGGTCTTATATCAAAAACTCAATCCGAACCGAATTAATTCAGTTAAAAGATGTAAAAATAGTGCTATATAATCCTTGTTTTTCAAGAATTATTCATTTACTTGTCAGAAATATTGTGTAATAAATATTTATAAACGATTTCAAGGAATAAAATAAAGCTTATTGTGATCTTTTTTCACAATTTTTTTTTTGTTTGCTATTGAAGTCCGGGATTGTGCCCGGTATATGGCAATAGGCTCACCTCCTATTACATGGGACACTCATAACATAAATAGTGAAAAGTGGGTGTTACAATGTACAGTGGCGTAATGTGCACCTCTGCCTACCCCTTCGGGGATAAAAGGCGTGATGTTATGTTTGTGTGTTTATGTCTCCCGACGTTCTACCGATTAGTAACTAATCTAATTACAGTTAATATTTTAAACCACAGTTAGCATAACATTTTGTAGAAATATATCGTCGTTCGGTCAAAGTGATGGATTATAGTTCGACTGATCACATAAATATAAAAAAATGTGCGCTCATCTGACGTTCTTTTCTCAAAGATTATGCTAACTATAAAGTAAATTAGTTCCTAATTAGGAAAAAGCGGCAAAAAATAGTACCTACTTTGTTACATGTTTGAGTAGCTGTCACTACTCAACCCACCACTGTTACCGCAGCTAATGCTCACGAAGCTTCATGACACAATTCCTTCATGCATCCCACAAGTTATCGACTAAGAGAAAATAGCTCATAAAAATTAGTGCCCGGCATACGATCCACATGGTGGTGTGGTATGGTATACTTGTGCCAGGCGTACAGTGACACGCAATTTAAAGTCAGGAATTGTGAGAAAAATACGAATAATTTGATTAAAAAATGCAAAAGAAAATGTTCGAGTCTAGGTCTACTCTGATTCGACGAAAAACGAAGTTTCGGATGAAACTTCGAAGATTACCTACCACAATGACATTTATTACGAACGAAAAAGGAATTAAACAAGCCAGAAATTAGTATGAGATGTACTGTTTGACGTCGATATTTTTGGAACCCTACTCTACTTGTATAATCCGCACGATCGAAAATTCGAATTTGACAGATTATTCTTCGGACGTATTATTATATTTTATATGTCTATGAGAGTTAGTAACATTTAGGGTAATCAAATATTTATTTGAATACCGTATTGTACATAAATGTTTCATGTGTAATGTTTTATTTTAAAACTAATAATACCGCTAGAAAAATAAACTTAATTATTGCTAGTATATATTTTCGCTTTTCTTTCACATCTTAATAGATGATGTATTAATAATACAGCAATATTTATAGATAAGATAAATTCTTTCAAAAATATATTGTTAATCACCATAACATGAAATAATTTAGTCTCTTAAAATTCTCATGTAGACATTTATAATTTTTAAACTGACTGTACTAATATAATACGAATAAATTGGGTTGTCATTATTTTATAAATAAATATAAATCACAATGCCAACATTCTAAAACTTTTTAAATAAGTCATTTAATAAATCTTTGAAAGGAGGTTCTTATCCTGTTTAAGATTTTCCATCTTAAACATTAATATTAAAAGCTTATTCATGATTTTCTTGATTAATATATGTGCTCAGCCAAGCATTACGATTTTAGTAATATAATTACTAAAAATAAAATTTTATTTTTAATTTCGAATCTAAACCCATTTATTTATCTTCGTTCGTTCATTGTAGTTCACGAAAGTTGTCTATGGTTCCGAAAACGTTGTTTGCGATCGGAAATCAAACGAAACTTGGCATTCGAGAACCGGAGTAGACCTCCTGTTCTTTAAAACGCCCTTACCTCAGTCCGGACTGAGATTTACATATATTATGAGCCCATAGACAATTACGTTTGTAATGTCATTCCAGACAATATTTTTTTATAAATTACTGCCGCAAAAAAAAGAAAGGCACCAACTTTAGGCAATGCCCTTTCCACTCCATTTTAGGGAAGCGGTAGGTTAGAAAGAAACAAAATGTAGCCTATGCTACTTTTAATCCTTGCAACAAAACAAACAGACACCCACCAATTTATAGTAATATTAAGTATACATTTCTATGTTATCTGACATAATTTTTGACAAGTGGTTGTTATGCCAACGGATCATTAACAATTTATGTTTTTTGTTATCATGGTATAACATTAGGGTATTCAAAGAGGCTGAATACTAATATTACTAACTACTGAACCTTTTTGATTGAAATTCGGTCCAACGAGAGTTTGTGCCACTGACACTAGAAAGGACGTATGGTTGTTTTATCCTCGAAATTCGGACAAGCACTATGCGTTAAAATTCCGGGAGTCTCTCTCCCTTAAACTCCTGAACCTATTTGCGTGCATTTCGGTACCAGATCATTGTCATTAACCTTGGAAAAGACATAACATAACATAACATCACGCCTTTTATCCCCGAAGGGGTAGTCAGATGTGCACATTATACCACTGTACAATGTAACACCCACTTTTCACTATTTATGTTATGAGTCCCATGTAATAGGGGGTGAGCTTATTGAAAAGAGTAACAAACAAACCCAAAATCTGCCCAAAGTCATTATTATACGCGGACTAAGTCACAGGGAACAGCAAGTTTTTATCTATTTTGAAACTACCTACATGGTAAAACAACATCTATGAATAAAGTAGTATGAAGGTACCATCATGTGAACTGGTATGTACAACAAAAAAAAAATAAACAAACCGTTAGTTTCCGAAATATACGAATCTTTTGTGAAAACCATGTTGCATTCGGTGTTGACTCTGTTCTGAATAACTTGATGGTTTTCCAAATTGATTGGCTCGCTGGTTCGTTGATAAAGCGCTAACACAATAATGCGACTTTCACAACAGATCATAATAACACTTAATTACAGAAAATTAAATCATTAGCATTCCATATGTCATGAACTGGTTTATCATACATAACAAACAGATAAAAAATACATACATTAAAAATTCATTTCTATATTGCAGATATTTTGGCATCAAAATATTATAATATATCCAGTTATTCTGAAACCATATCCAGTAATTAAAATAGACGCAATATATTTTCAGATTAAAATGAATTTCATCCATACATGTACCAAAACGTGTATGTAGGTAGCAAAAATAATTATAACTTACCTGAATGTAAAGCTAAAAATGAGAATTAGCATATAAATAGACCAACCAACATTTCAATGGAATATTTTCTTGTTTACTTGTTCCAAACGCCCAATATTAATGTTGACAAATATATTGTAGGCTTAAAAACAATATGCTCGTTCACTCATTACCCGAGTACCTATGTATCCGACAAATAACTGAAAAATCGTAAATACACGAATCTTTAGACACAAAAATCAAAGAATACTTTCACAAAGAAACATCTCAGACGGAAATTATAGGTTAAGAGATTATTTACGTATGTAATGTACCTGATGGAGAGGGCTTATAAACATACAAAAAGCCTTTTTATGACCTTCTTCGCTTTTTATATCTACTTGCAAACATTACAGGCCACGTCGAGCTGACGTTCCCTTAAGAGAACGTGTTTACACCAAGTTATTCTTATTTTTCGCAAAAGAAAATGTGTTTTCTGTCGGTCAGCGATGGCGACGGCCCGAGGAAACAGAATCTGATTTAGGTTCCATTAAATACAATATACAACTTTCCTTATGTACTGAGTTATAGAAAAATGCATTAAGGTGAGTTAAATACGAAATTACGTCTATAAATCGTGGTTATTATCAAAAAAGAACATGGACGTACATTAAGCAATTTATTTACAGTTTGTATAATATCAAAAAGCTACAATCAGTACCGGTTAAGTTTTTGTCTTTATAATACTGTCCAAAGTAATACAGTAACGATATTATCCTATGTACTTACATCGTATGTATAATAATAAAAATGAAATATCTCATACAATTAGGTACATTATGACTTTATGTCGACATTTAAACATAATTATCACAGATTTTGTAAACGTTTTAAACAATATTTAGTACAAAAGCTTTAACCAAAGAAAATAAAAATATAATTAAGTTACAAACTTAATGCCAGACGCAAAAGAATCTTATATTTGCCTAAAGTTTATGAAAGAGCAAATAAAGTTAAATAACCTAAAAGACTGAGTCTTTGTTAAAATCATAGGTTTTATTCTAGACCAAATAACTATGTACAGCGTTACTTAGTTCATTAAAAAGTAAAGTAAATACTTAGTAATAAAGTGACTAGTAAAGTGCACCCGAGCCGGAGCGTTGAACTATCTGAAAATAAATTCATAAAGAGGAATTATTAAGACGGGAAGTATTTCATTAATTAAAATGGAGGTTTTGTTATATCAGGCTATTTAAACATTGACATATTTTAACAGACTATTTTATCTCGTTTTAATGTCGGGATCATGTTTTGCGGATATTCTGTTGTTGACGGTGTATTTCCAATTGTGTTTCCAGTATTTAAATTGCTTATAATACGAGAGAATTTAATAACAGGATAAAGTCAGAAACAGACTTTTTAACTGTTTTTGAGGATTAATCTTCGAGTTGTGTAAAATGTAGAAGCCATAATTTTGAATAGTGTTTAAATTATAAATATGTTCATTTTATTGAGTACCTCAAATAGTCCTACACGCTGTAGATTGATACCAAAAATGTTGTATTTTTAAATTGTGTTGCTATGTGTTTATTGAAACTTAATGTCATTAGAAAATAACTTACTTGCAGCTTGATGTTCCATAGGTTTCTTGACCTCTATGCTTGCGCTATGCGTCGGCATTAAACCTGTAAACAGTTGTCTGATAAGTATTTATTTTGTTATTTTATTGGAAAACCTTACAATAGGAATAATGACGGGATATGAATATTAAAAAATATTAGACACATATTTTTATATTTGTCGTATGAGGTTCAAATCAAGATATTGTCGGAAGTATTTGTTTCAGTAAGAAAATAATCTAAGTATAATTTTTTATGGGATATCGACCCGGTTAACGACCTGACGGATCACCTGATGGTAAGCAATCGGCGTCGCCCAGAGGCGTTACACTCGTAACAGGTGTTCCAGGTAACGCACTTGCGTTACCGGTCTTTTGGGGATTAGGAGTTTGAGGATTGTTGGCGATTCAGGGATTGAGGAGATTGGGGAAGAGGGGGTCGTAATTGAGCCTCAGATAACCTCACTCACACGACGAAACACAACACGTTTCTTCAAGTCGGTTTTGTGTGAGGCCATGTTGTCACTCCAGTCGAGCCGGCCCATTCGTACCGAAGCATGGCTCTCCCACACTTGAATGTTCATTGTTGTATAAAATGTAAAAGTAGCAGACGAACAATAAATTTGTAATCTACTCTATTGACAGGATTTATACTATACAATATTGTTCACAAGCCAACACGAAATAAATAAATATGCTGCGGTGCTTACAAAGTGTAGTCAAGAAAACAAAAGCTATATAACATTTAATTAATTTGCAATCAAAGGTATTAACATCAAACGGTATTTGTATAAAAGAAATGTAAATAATAATTAATAATAATTTTAGTACCATAGATTTAATTTAAAATAACCCGACAGAGCTACGACACTATATTTAGCCTCCTAATAATGGCTCTTCTAGGAATGAATAAAGGAGTAAGGTTGAATGACAATATTATCGAACGCAATGTAATTTCGGAGTAATAGGCCCAAAGGCAAGCAACCCTACACATTGGGTGTCATCACACGTACAACATACACGTAGCTGCTAATCACGTGTACACTACACATCTATACTAGTAAAAAGGGTAGGTAGGTACGTAGTGTAATAATGGTAATCCAATCAGTTTTATTGGTATACAGTCGAAATATAAAATTCTATTATTTCCACCAATACGTAATAAGAAGTTGTTTTTTTCTTAAGTCGAAATACGTCTTAATTTAGGAATTTAGCTTTATTAGCTTTTAGCTAAATTACACGATTAAAATTCAGCTACAGTCTTTACAGTGTCTGCTGATGGCACCAACTTTTCTATAAGATCTAGTTCGGATCGATAAGGCCCTTACGATATTAAAGATTTTGTTTTGTTATTGGATAAGCCGATATACTGGAACACCAGAGACGTTACAAGTGTTTTACAGGCCGATTGAGTATTAGAAATTTGAGGATTCTTTGTATTCAAGGATTGGGGGGATTGGGGAGCTTGGGGAAGAGGGAGGATAATTGGGCCTCCGGTACCTAACTTTACTTATACGACGAAACACAACGCAAGCGTTGTTTCACGTCGGTTTTCTGTGAGGTCGTGTCGTGGTATTACTCCGATCGAGCCGGCCCATTCGTGCCGAAGCATGGCTCTCCCACACTTATGTTCAATGATAAATATTAGATGTGGCTGTAGAACATAAATTTTCTGAGCACCCTGATCTTAAACATATTTTGAATGTTCAAACACTTACCTGGGTAATAAACAGTAGTTCTATTAGTAGTGTAATTAGCTAGGGGCAAGCTCAGTACGCAGACAAACTCCTCCCAAGGACTGGTGACGTCATCATCATGAACCAGTGCTGTGGTCTCCACGGTGTACATGCCCCAGGAGTCCATTCTCATGTCCGTGATTGCTCGCTCCAGTGGCTTACTGCAAAACTTTAATATTTTAGGATATTTTTTCTACAGCGAAACATGCATTGTAAAAATTTTAAAGCTTATTGCGTTTGATCACGTTATTGTTTATCACGGTTTATCATATTGTTTTATCACATACATTCAAAGGTGCGCCCAAAGGGTTTTTATAATAGACACACCATCAAAACAAATAAATTTTATTTGCTTAAAACGTGGTAAATTACAGATAAAAGTACAAATAAATATTTTTGATATCCTTACACTTCACCAGAACAGGCATGCAGATATCTAATGTCATAAATTAATCAAATAAATTGAAATTCTTATCATGTTAGTCATTAGGTATCAGATGACCGTGTCTGATATAAGGAAGAAGTCATTATGATTTTATTATGGCTGGAAAACATTTTCTTAAAACTATGCCCATGGTTTTCGTTGTCAATAGCGTGGAATGCTCTCAAATCAAACTCTATGCTCCTGCATGGCTTGAAACTTGAAACATTTATGTCATTTCTACATGTTCTGCAGAGAATTGCTGTAGAAATACGTCAGTCTGTGTTTGTGTGAGAACTTCAGTAGTCTCTGTATTTGCTATGCAACAGTTTAATCTTCGAGAAAGTTTATGGCTATAAAATTTTACTGTGTCTTGAGGGAACCAGCAAAGAAAAACTAAGGCACGTCGCGTCGGGTGAGACACGTCACTTGGAAATTGGCCCCGAACTCGGCTCGAATTTGTACAATTGTTAACATCCATTCGAAATAGTAGTTTTATGCCAATTTATAGATTAGTACCTAAACAAATGATGTTTTGCTTCAGTAAAGGGGTTTTAGGATCGATAAAATGTTACAACTGTAGTATTACCAGTAAATTTATTTTGCAAAAATGAGTCACTCAAAAACAATACCTAGATTTATTAATAGATAATTATAAAATTACAGCATCTAAAACAATTGAGAATTATTTGGATGGTTTTGTTATAAGTCTTCCTTTACAATAAAGTTGCTTTGTTTTACGCTTAAGCGTTTCCTTTTTTTCCGACACAAGCGAACCTAAAAAAGGTTCTTTACAAATAAAAGACAACCTATTACTACATAGGTACTTCGTTATTGCTTATTATTTGAGTAAATAAATCTTTATAAAAAGTAATAAATATATTAGTATCACCGAAGCCTGCATCTGGTCAGATCATAAATACGTACAAAATCGTAGGACAGGATCATCAATAATACATCAAGATTCGAATAACAAGATCACTTGACCTTATCTAACTCATGAATTACCCATAAAATGCCGTCTGCCCGTCTGTACATTTTTATATATATTTTCCGGGCCGTACACTTTCTGAATAAACACTTCCTTTTATTAGTCTTGATAATTAACTTTTTTATTACTTACCTTTTACAAGATTTATTTTTAATTTTTGGTTATGAAGGCCTGGGATTGGTGAATTAGATTTGGCCCCATTTCTCATATTATAATGATTAAGAAAATATCTCCTATTCTTTTGATGGAATCTCTGAAGAGTATTTTCAGTTTGGATGGACTTGTTATGTATTACATACGTACACATACTTACGTAAGCTGTGTATAATGGTTTGTGTGTGCTGTCAACGAAGTTAGTTCAGTGCCACAGAATATTGGAGGCACAGGCCAGAGAATATTGCATTAACTAGTCACAGAACGCGCGAGAACCATTCTACCGTATATTCATAGGGTATAATTTACCGTATATCTATAAAGCTTAAAGGTAGTAGTAGCTACTCAAAATACTTACCCCTTTGATAAAATAGTCATTACGGGCCGAGGATATAAGTACTCTGCTACACATTTCAAAGTAACTAAGAATACGTATTTTTTCTCCTGGTCAAAATGGAAACTCTTTCCCGGACCTGTGGGGTAAAAATAACTGTCTGTTATAATCGAATAGAAACAATCCCTGAAATCATGAACAGATGTGTTTACAAAGTGCGCAGACAAAGGTTTCATGCACATACAGCCTAAACCCAATACGGTTAATTACTTTGTTCGGGGATCAACTAATTCGTTCGTAAGTAGAAACTGCGTCTCGATAAACTAGATTACCATACGTACAGGGTCGTGCCCAGACAATTCCATTAGAAATTTATGCAAACCTACTATTATGCACTTTCGGCTAGTGCACAGGTGCCGTACCATCGAATTAATCTGAACTGATAGCTAGTTCAAATTGTGTTCTATATTCGTCTGTTATATTCTGATATAACTCTCTCTCAATGTCTCTGGGCAATGGAGGTTTATAGAAGGTCATTTAATGGGCATAATTTAATGACTTTCTATAAACATATAAATAAATGTAATATGTAGTTACTAACGTAAAATTTTCCGCAATAATGCAGTTTTAATTCTATGAAGGAAACGAGAAATATTTAGTTACCGTACAAGCCTGTTTTATAGTGATTGTGTTAAAAACTCAAACATCGTCGTTCAGACCATGATGTTATACGTATTTGAATGCATGTATGCCGATTAATCTATGCAACTAGATGAGATTCGATAATCTGTATAACCTCTCATAAGCTGGCAGATAGAGCTTCAATTAAACAGATTAGAACTAATGAGGATCATAACGTAATTGGTATCAAATTGTGCGGTTACTGGGACTGAACTGATCTGCAATGCGACCTTGGAATGGAATGCCTTTCTGCGAAGTCAAATAATATTAGTAGTCGATAATAATATAGACTGCCTCGTTGACTGAGTAATCGCAACTCGCAAGTGGGACTGCCGAACAAGGGGTGTCGGGTTCTGTTCCCGGGTGGGGCAAAGTTATACTGGGATTTGAAAAAAATCTCAGTTGTAGCTTGGAGTCTGAAATTTTGCCCGGTATATGGCAATGGGCTCACCCCTATTACATGGGATTTATAACATAAATAGTGAAATCGCATTAAGTACCGTAATGTGCCCTTCTGTCTACCCCTTAGGGGATAAAAGGCGTAATGCTATGTTAATAATGTAAGCATAATATTCCAGCTGTAACAGTTTCCCTGGAATTGTCATAGCATTCTATTCGGTTCACAAGATTACGCATGCATTACATTATAGGTAGTGGTTAGGTACCTAATTATAAATCCCTGTCGGCCATACAATTATATTCCAATATTATTGCCGCGCCGTACAAACAGCGTACGGGAATATTATTTACATTCTACCAATATAACTGATTAATTTTCACGTGGGATTTACTAACCGTATTTTGGTTAAAGTCCATAGAATCATGTCAGCTATTGGTCAGAGTGTAATACTCCAATGAAAATTACAATTATTATTATTATAATGTTTATTTATCGACCAATTAACGCATTTGTAATAAAATAAAGTAAGTGCCTCGTTGGCCGAGTGGTCGCAAGTGCAAGGGGTCTCGTCTCGGGTTCGATTCCCGGATCAGGCAAAGTATTAATGGGTTTTAAAAAATTCTCAGTAGTAGCACGGAGTCTGGAATTGTGCCCGGTATATGGCAATAGGCTCACCCCCTATTACATGGGACTCATAGCATAAATCGTGAAAAGTGGGTGCTGCATTGTACAGTGGTATAATGAGCACCTCTGCCTACCCCTTCGGGGATAAAAGGCGTGGTGTTATGATGATGATGATAATAAAATATGTCGTTACATCATTCCATTAAATCAAATATGTACATTTTTCTATTCTTTACTTTAAACTATGGTCTGGACTATAAACTTTGCGTTGTACAGTGGTTATGACTATACCACTGCTTGCACCTTCGGGGAATAAGAAGCGGTAATGTTATGTTAGGAAACTTGAAAAGTCAATTAACTTAGTATCTCTTGTTGTGTCGACAGAACATCTCGAACAATTTCGACGTTGACAGCTCAGTTCGTTTAAACGAACGTAACTTCAAAGTACCAAAGTAGTTCCTTCAATTTCGCCTAGTTTTTAGTTCTAGTACAGTTAATTGCTGAACTCCTGTAAGTAGGAGTCACCTTCATTATTTATAGTTTTAACTTATAAAGGATTTTCAATTCTCTCTTAGTAGATTAATTTTCTTTACGAAATTTTACTAATAATTTTAGATTTCTAAGTTTTTGAGCTAAATTTAATTTATATGGAAATTCATTAATTATAAATTGAATCTTGTAATGCGCTGAAAATATGATATTCAGTCTACTCTGTCATGAAATAACAAACGTGTTGCTATGTTTATGTTGAAGTATACAATTATACATTATATGAAGTAAATGTAATTCTAGTACCTGTGTGTAACTGATATAACACAATTATCTAATGCAATTTGTATATAAATTGGGTGTAATCGAGTATGTTAATTACTTACTGTACACTAACATGGATCCCGTCTGACTGTCTTCTGCTATGAATGTGGACGCCACACATGTATAATTGCCGCTGAGGTGTGTCCCCGGATTTATTATTTTAATGGCTCTATAAGCCTGCAACGGTTCATCTGTAACAACAAAGTAAAGTTATTGAAAAAAATATGTGATTTTGGTTAACACGAAGCGTGTTATAATTACGTATTTTTTCTATGTAAGGTGTCATGAGTATGTGAATTTGTATGTATGGAAACGCACCCATGATACAGGAGAAAGTCCTAGTATGGGGAACATTTTTATAAAGCAAATTTATAAGTTGAAATTACACACTTATTGAATTATTATAACAAAATTTAGCAACTACGTGTACATAGATAAGATGACCAATGACCATACAATATTTTGGTACCGTTCAGCACGTCAGAAGATGAAACTTTGGGCTAACAACTAGTAAATATATCTTGTTTGGGTTCATTAGATCTTTTTCTTTTTTCTTGACAGTGAGAATATGATTGAGTTAATACTGTCAATAAAACGGGGATCTAAGTTATTTAAACTAAAAAAAATTTATTGAGATTAAAGTTTTGTTTTGGTCTTCAGATAAATTGTCCGTTAATTTTCTTTACTAAACAAAATGTGTTGCTAGGCGCAAAAGAACATAACGACTAGACGTAATCTATTTCATACCTAAATACTCATTTCAGTCTAGGGAGGGTTTTGTGTAGAAAATTTAATAATATAAAAATGGTATTTGTTGCTTCAACTAGATTTTTTGTGAGTTTTTCCTTGTTTGTAAAAACTTACCCGAGATTTTAAAGCTCATGTCGACCTTTCCTTTTAAAAGTCCAATAACTTGAGGTTGTAGTGGTGGTATCCATTGGTAGACGAGGCCAGTGGACCCGTTGAAGAACCACTTTATGACGAGACCTGGACCTGGGGTCTCGCCTGTGTTGTAGTCGCAGTCTAGGATCACTGACTCCGTGCCTAGCTCCACTAGGGCCGGTACCACGATTCGGTTTATATTCACCGCAATACATTCTGGAAATAAATAGTCATGTTAAGTATTTACCTATGTGTCGAATTACTACGAGCAAATGAAATGAATTTATTTATTTGTAAACAACCTATGACTTGATGACTATGGACTTTACGGACAGAAACAATAAGTTAAACTATGAGTTATCGTGGATTGGACAATATGTTTTAGACTTGTATGAATCCTTTTTTCTACAATTTTTTATTGAAAATTATAGAAGTTGAATTGTGAAAATGTTTAGGTAACGTATGCTTATATGTAGATGTGTATAGCTACGTAAATAACACGTACTTAATATTAAATATTTTTATTGGCCTGCTTGAAACAATTTTCTTCTTTTGAATTGAAATATACCGTTTTTTTTTCATTTAGAAGTTGGTATGACATCGTCATAAATTTTTAAAAGGGTGGTACTGACGCTAATCTCGTCTTCAGTGGATTAGATACACACATGTAGGCTTTGGGCTTGTATCTCGTTATGACAATTTAAGCTCCACTGAAGGTTTGTGACAGCCAAACAGATATCTATGTCGTGCCATGCACAATTGTGTCTGGCTTTATTAAATTTATGCAAGTGTAATAAAATACCCTACTTAATATTATAAATGCAAAAGTTTGTAAAGATGTATGTGAGCGTGTGTGTGTGTTTGTTACTATTTCATGTCAAAACGGCTTTATAATAATCAAACGTACTATTGCTTTTCCTGATGCAAACATTTGTAGTAACAAATATTTTCGTGCAACAAATACATAAACTATTGGCTTTATTAACTTAACGATGGAGCGACCCTACTATAATATCATGGGGTGCGGTGCCAGAAGACCTCCCCGTGGTGCACCCTGGGTGCGGGCGACAGTCTCCCTAGCGGGGGTGATAGGGTTGGAGTGACTGTCGCCCGCAGCAGACTTCTGGACTGGGCGGGCGAACCCGATAGGGTTCTGGAGGCGGCGGGCTGTGTGCGGAGGCTCATAGCCCGCGCTTCCGAGGGGTGTTTCTCCGCCCGTCTCTCTGGACATAGCAGAGAGCGTGGCGGAGAGGCAAAGGCGGTGCTCGTTGTGCACTCACCCTGCCAGCGAGCAGCATTGGGACACAAGCTGTCCCCGATTGCAGCCGTCGATATCGTAATCCGTAAGGAGGTCACGGTCATGTTTTGTGACTCTGAACGGGACGAGGGTCTTGGCTTGGTCGCCCGGACCGCGAGGAAGATAACCTCTATAAAAAATTCCTCCAATACTAAGTTCTGGTGCGCGGCGAGAGTATGCATGGCTGAGGAGTAGTGTCAGTCGCGAGCGCACCCCCAGCTAGGGGACCAGTGGACCCTCTAGTTGGGAAACAAATTTTCACTTACCCAGGTACAGGGGGCACTGCCTGGGTGGACCGAATATTTCCCCCATACTCGTGGGAACTTTATGGAGCAAATTTCAAAAAAACCACATCTGGAGGAGGAGAGTGCGGGTGAGCTTGGCTCGCCTGCGGTAGCGGAGAAGGGAGCCCAGGTGGCTCCGGGACTCGTGGTAGGGTGCTGGACTCGTCCAGCAGGCCCCACACACGGGAGTCTAGTCGGGGGGGTCGGATCAGAGTCCGACACAACATTGGCGGAGCGGCTGAGCGTGAGCTCGAAAGGCTCACGCCGCCGCGCGACGGGGACGTTCAAACGCCCCAGGCTGGAGGAGGACAGTTTGTCCCCGTCCTCCGGCGCTCAGGAGGCGCCTCCCCCCAAGGTCCCCACGGCAGCGCGGGGTAGGGGCGGCAAGGGCAGCGGTCGCCGGAAGCCGGCACCAGCTGCCTGCGCCGAGTCAGCCGAGCAGCTGGCCGCGGAGGGCAGGGCTCTCTCAAGCGCTGCCCGCTCGGAGTCCTCTGCGGCCGAGATGTCCGGCGTGGAGATGTCGGAGGGCGAGCGCGGCTCTGAGAGCGAGAGCTGCTCCGGGGGCCTCCAACAGGCCATTACGGCGGAGCTCTACAAGCTGGCGATGGGGAAATCCCAGCCGGTTAGGCTCCGCCTCCTCAGAGCGGCGGCGGCCACAATAACGGAGGCGGCCTTGGAGCAGTGTGCGATGCCCACTGCGGGGAAGGTGCGCTCCGAGCTGGCCGAGATGCGGCGGGAGCTGACGCGCTTGGCGGCCTCCAATGCGGCTCTGAGGCCGAGCTGCGGACGGCCAGGGCCGAGCTCGCCGCTGCTCGCGGCAGTCGCCCCCAGCCCCCGGCGGAGGCCGACGTAGTCGGACTGCTGCGGGCGGAGTTGGCTGCCTTCCAGCGACGTTTCGACGTGCTGGAGGGCAGGCTCTTGCGCCCCCCACTCGCGGCGAGTCAGGTCGCCCCCGCGGTCCCGCGGTCGTACGCGGCCGCTGCGGCCAAGCCTTCGACCTCGGGTCAGGCTAGCCGCAGCTCCCAACCGCTGGCAAGGGCGCGACCGGCTGCCCCGCGAGGGCCTCGGCGCCCCCGCCGGCGCAGACCCCAGCTGCGCCGACGGCGCCAGCGCCCGCAGGGCGCAAGGAGAGGAGAGGCGCTCCAGCCCGGCAGGCTGGAGTTGCGGCAGCGGTGGTGGAACCCGCCCCGCGAGCGGAGGACGGCGGCGGGTGGCAAATCGCCGGCGAGGCGAGGAGAGTCGCCAAGGAGGGCCGGAAGCGCCGCAAAAAGGCGCAGCGGCAGCGACGGCAGCAGCAGCGCAGGGAGAAACGCGCTGCTGCCTTGCTCCTCGCCCCTAAGACCGCGGCTGTAGTGATTACGCTGCAGCCCGAGGCGGTCAATAGGGGCGTCACTTACGGCGACGTCCTCGCCAAATTGAAGGGGGCGGTATCTCCTGCGGAGTTCGGGGCGCCAGACGGGTTCGCGGTCAAGGTGACCGCTACCGGAGCCCGTCTTTTGGAGGTCCCCGGCGCGACCAGCGGCCCATCGGCCGACGCCCTGGCCGAGAGGCTTAGGGCGTGCCTCGGTGCGGACGAGGCCCGCGTGTCCAGGCCAACCAAATGCCTGGATGTCAGGATCTTGGGCCTGGACGACTCCGTAACGGAGAGTGAGGTGGTGGCCGCTGTGGCCAGGACGGGAGGGTGCCCTGCTGACCAAGTTAAGGCAGGCGCCATCCGCCCGGACAACTCGGGGCTGCGCACTGTTGTGGTCAGCTGCCCCGTCACAGCGGCCAAGAAGCTGAAGGAGGGCAAAAGGCTCTTGGTGGGATGGGTCTCGGCGCAGGTCAAGCTGCTCGAGACCCGGCCTCTGAGGTGCTACCGCTGTCACGTGGGGGAGCACGTGAGTGTCAAATGCACCTCGGAGGTGGACCGCAGCGACTGTTGCTTCCGCTGCGGTCGGCCCGGTCACAAGGCCGGCTCGTGCAACGCCCCGCTGCACTGCAACGCATGTGCGGCGGCTGGCAAGCCGGCCAATCACCGGGTCGGGAGCAAAGGCTGCTCCCCTCCCGCCAAACCCAAGGGCAAAGGCAGGCCCTCCGCCGCCCCTGCCGTTTCCGCCGCCGCCGCCGCCACTGCCACCGCAGTCGCCGCTGCCGCCACTGAGGAGATCGGAATGGACTGCCAATAATGGCCCCATTCCGCCTCCTCCAGGCGAACATCAACCGCTGCGCCGCTGCTCAGGATCTCCTGCTCCAGAGCATGGCGCAGTGGTCGATCAATGTCGCCGTGGTCTCCGAGCCGTACTTTGTCCTGCCCAGGGATCACTGGGTGGCGGACCTGGACGGCTCGGTGACCATCATCTCGTCGGCCGCCGCCGGTACCCCGACTCTTGAGGCTGCTCAAAGAGGCCGGGGTTGTGTCGCAGCACGGTTCGGAGAGCTCGCTGTGGTGGGCGTGTACTTCTCTCCGAACCGAACTCTCGCCGAGTTCCACAACTCCTTGAGGGAGTTGGTCACTGTCGTCGTCGGGTTCCGTTCCCTCCCCGTGCTCGTCCTCGGGGACTTCAACGCCAAAAACTTGGCTTGGGGTTCCCGGTTCACCGACGTCCGGGGTAGGATGGTGGAAGACTGGGCCCTTGAGACAGGCCTAGTCGTCCTGAACCGGGGTTCTGTCCCCACGTGTGTGCGGATGCAGGGCGAGTCGGTGGTGGACATTCGTTCGCCAGCCCTGCTCTGTCACCGCGTATTGTTGGCTGGCGCGTCATGGAGGAGGTGGAGACGTACTCCGACCACCGGTATATCCGGTTCGACGTCTCCGCCGAGTCCGCAGACCCGCCGGTCAGACAGGCCCCATGTGGCCCGCGTTGGGCGCTGAAACAGCTGGACCGGGAGCTGCTCCTGGAAGCCGCCATCGTGCAGGCCTGGGTGATACCACCGGTCAGGCCTGCCGACGTTGACGATGAGGCCAAGTGGCTCCAGGACGCCATGTCCAGGATCTGTGACGTGGCGATGCCCCGGATCCGGTCGAGGCAACAGAAGCGCCAGGTGTACTGGTGGTCGCAAGAGCTGGCGGCTCTGCGCAAGGCGTGCACTACTGCGCGACGCCAGTACACTAGGCACCGCAGGCGCCGTATCCGTCCTCCTAATGCGGAGGCGAGAGAGGCGGAGTTATACGAGGGATACAGGGCGGCGAAGGCCCTCCTCAAGGCGGAGATATTGCGGGCCAAGGAGGAGGCCCGCCGAGAGATGCTGGGGACTCTGAATAGAGACCCGTGGGGACGCCCGTACCTGATGGTACGCGACAAGCTCCGTGCTTGGGCTCCCCCGCTCACTCAGAGTCTCCGGCCAGAAGTCTTGGAGGAGGTGATTGGCGCCCTGTTCCCCCGACTGTGGAGGGGCTTCACCCCTCCGTATATGACTCCGCCCCCTGCGGTGCCCGACGCGGGCTACAGCGACGACGACGATGACATCGTCCCAGAGGTGACCGAGGCAGAATTGAGAGCGGCGGTGCGCCGGATGGGCGCCAAGAACACCGCCCCAGGACCCGACGGCCTGCATGGCAAGGCATGGGTCCTGGCCTCAGAGGCTCTCGGGCCTCGATTGATTGGTCTCTACAGCGCATGTCTGGAGAGAGGCCAGTTCCCGCTTCTCTGGAA